AGTTAACCGCTCCTTTAAGAGCTCACATTATATAATATATTAATAATTTATAGTAAGCAGGAAAATAACAGCCTTAAACGCTTTTTAAAACCGCTTTTAATTGATTTTTTACTGAAACTCTCCTTTCGGTTTCTACTGGCAGACATATATTGGGAGATTTAATGTCATAGAATATTTTTTCAGAACAATTCATAATCTAATATTCCTCTAGTGCTAAGTGAGATATTATTATATTCCGGTCAGTAAAATAATTCATTTAGTGGCTGAAAGTCCTTCATTAGAAAGCTTACTGGAAAACTAACTGTATTCTTACTCACGAAACATATGGATGCATCCAAGTTTTCGTGGCCAGTATTTCGATGAAATTTGTTTCAAGATTTGGGGATTTTTATTTCGGGGTTTTTATGTGCAGGTAAATTGAATTCATAGTTAAAATTTTGAAATACACTAAAAATACGCAAAATAACAAAATGGCGAGCAAAAAAAAAATTTTGTAGTGCGCTTAAATAATTAAATATAGCAATTAAAATTCAATAATTTTCGTAATTTTGTATTAAAAATGAAAATCAAATTGTATTTCCGAAGTAATATTACAAAATAACGCGAAAACATGAAGAAAAAACATAATTTTTGTTTTTCGGTAGATTTAGTCCACCTTTGCAAAGTGGGGCAGGTTTTTTCGAAAGAAGAAACATCAAAGAAGACAACAAAAAAAAAAGTTTAGCTAATTACGGAACTTTTTAGAACTAATTTTCGAAAGTCATTCAAGCATTGCAAAATGTCAAATGATAAGATATAAACTATAAGTTTGTCAAGAGTATTATCTAATCCAACAAATTGAAAAGTTGTATTATTATTTAACACTAATTACTCTGATAAAATTGTAACAGTAAGGTGAAATTCCCATATATATTTCTGAAATAAAAATTTAAAAGTTACATTTAAAACAATTTTTTTAACACATTTTTCATTAAATTGTACTCTTGTTGGTCCAAAAAGTAAATTATAATGTTTGGAATGATTATGAATACTTAATTTGGGATATATTAAAACTGCCTACACATATTTTAGTTGAAAAATTAATTATTTACTCTTGGCCAAAGATCATAGTCTTCTGGCCCACAGTGGAATGAAGTGCGAGAATAACGTGGGTCGGAAAAATAATTTTCTGTTTCGGATCACTCAGTAAAGACAAGTTGCCTAATGTTATAAAAATAAAAACGACTAACAAAATAAAAATCAGTTCATATCGTCCATTCGCGCATCCTACTCAAAATTAAGAAAATCTTGAAAAAATAGCGGCTTTTTAATTTCTTTACGTTGGCTAAAACTTTTGAAACAAACTTGCTTTTTATGCTCGTTTTGATAATTTTAAAATCATAGAAAATTAATTTCTGATCAATAATTTAATTTTCCAATGTGCAACTCTTTGCTAGTTTTTCTAGATTAGAACTACTCAGAGCAGACCACGTGACATCACTTTTATGAGGCATTGTTTCAAATAAATTTCTGGAAACGCGATATCTTTCAAAACAAGTAACTCATCGAAGGTAGTTTTTTAAAAGACTTACCTGTCTAGTGCAGGCAGTTCATGCAATATATAAAAATTCCCATAGAATGGGCAAAAAAAAAGTGTAGTTTCGAAACGCTTTATGGCGGAAAAGTTGTCTTTTGTAATAAGAATAAAAATAGCATGAAGGATTTAAAATCAACCAATATTTTCCGTTCTCACATTCTACTTAAAAATAATGAAAACTTTAAAAAAAATCCCACATATTTGAATTTTAAATTGGCTAAAACTTGAAATAACTAAGCTTTACTTTCTTATGCTTGTTTGCTATTATTATATTAAGCTGTAGGTAATAGCTGTAAATATAATGTAAATACCACACTAAAAAGGACGATTGGTTGGGTAGGTTGTAAGTTGAACTTGACTTGCAAACGTGGCTTGCATTTTCACGTGGGAAGCTCTGGGTAGTATGCTCTGGATAAGCTGGGTTCCTTTGTGTCACACATCGCTCTGACACAAAGGAAATAAAGAAAAATTAGTAAACTTTTCTTGGATCTAAGTTTAATACCTTGGATTTTCAAACCCATCTGACAAGTATAAAAAACTAAGCTTGATTTTTTCAAAAGTTTTATCAAATTTTAAAATAAAAATAAAAATGTGGAATTTTTTCAAGTTTTCTTTAATTTTAAGTAGAATGCGCGAACAGAAGATATTAGACGATTTTAAAATTCTTCATGTCATCTTTATCCTTGTTACAAAAGGCAACTTTTCCACTCTAAAGCATCTTGATCCACTCTATTGGTTATTTAAGATATTGCATGAACTGCCTGCTTACTCGCTGGATGAGTTAGTCTTTTAAAAAGCTACCATCGATAAGTTTTATGTTTTCAAATATATCATAGAGGTTTTCGTTTCTAGAAATTTTTTGAAATAATGACAAGACTTTATAAAAATGGTGATTAAGTATTCTTCCTTTTAATTAGTTTCTCAGCTATATAAAGAAGCATTTTACAAGCTTTACTATAACAGAATATTTATATTAGAGGAAATATTATAAAGTTAAAATTTCTTAATGATTTACATTTTAAATCAGTCACTAGACACTACCTTTCTTTTTATGCTTAATGTTGATTTTTAAACTATTTTAACAAATCTCTGGGTTTTATCCTTTACCTAAATTTCCAATAATTTGTAGAACAGAGCATTGGTGTTAAGAAAAGTAGACATGAATTGTTTATTTAAGGTGGAAAGTTTTCTTTTGGAGGTTCCATTGTAGAGCTTCTATTAACTGCCATTTCTTTTAAGCAAATGTTTTTTTTTCTTTGAAAATATTGGTTGACTCGTAATTTCCCCTCTCACTTGAAGTGCTTCTCTTTGATATTTCTAGAAGATTTTTCCTTCAAGGTCTTATTTTGGAGATTTTCGGAATCTTTTGATGAATGGAGTTATTTTAGGCTCATGATTTTTATGTACTGAAATTCTGATGGCTTCGTTTCTTGCAATCGTTTTTGTTTCTTATTTGGCTTTGTTTCTTTGTTTTGTTATTCTCGTTTATGTACCTTACAAGCGAGAGGCAAAGCATTTTCCCAACTTATTTCCTTTTTTCCTGACTTCCATTCTTATATTTCAAGGTTCAATAAAAATTATATATATATATATATATNTATATATATATATTATCACCCACTTCATGCGCACCTCATCATGCCTACCATTGCGCACCTCCTAACCCTTTAACTAAACAGTGGTTAGATGAGATATTCTAGTTGTTCCCGGGCAGCTAAAGTGTTTGGAGTCAGACGGCCTCATCATTCGTGTTAATTGATTTGTGTTCTGTCCTTTGTGATTTATAAGATCTAACTTGAAGAAAAAACAAGTCATTTCCATCCATAGACGAAGCCGAGGTAGCTTGGTTTCTCTTGGATGATTGGTTCTCGAGGTTGGTTGGTTCTTTATTTAACATCTTAGAATGATTTCTTTATGGAAAAGATTTCCCCTATCAGGGTCTTGCTATTTGGGCCGCAGTTTTGCTAGCTGTTACCTCATGAAAAAACGATGGTTTTTCGATAACTTTTTAACCAGGGATTCTGAAAGGGAATATCCTTCACTTAATCAAACGTCATCCGAATGGGATCTTTGATTTATTTTAACAGATGATGCTATGCAGACTTTAAAGAAATTTTGGCATTTCCTTAATCAACATATTTCCAACAATAACCCATTAACTTCAGAAAATTATTTTTTAATTCGCATATTCACTTTTTATGGCTCTTTATGAAAGAGCGATTTCTACGTCTTCAAATAATTAAGAGAATGTATTTTTATCTATGAATTAATGTAGAAAGACTCGTATGAGACTCTATATTACACACACGCACCATATATATATATATATAACTCACAATTTGCTAAGAGGTTCTTACTGACGTTTCAACATCATCGACAAATCAAAATACATTGATACAATAGTTAGGAGATCACCAAAATATGAGATTGATTTTTTTCGTTAATGTAATTTAAACAAGTGTAAACCAAATAATAAATACGAAAACACATGTAAAATATAGAAATGTATAAAAAGTCGGAGAAAAAAAGCATGTTTCCTACAATAAATGGTTTAAAAATATATATCAATAACTATCCCTGTTTATAAAATACCTATCTCATTACTTGATTAGCTTGGTTTTGCCTGACTTGAATACGAGCATAGAAGCAACGGTTAAATTAAGTTGAATAACTCAATTTTTTTTATCTTATTTTGAATATAACTTTTTAATTGAATGGTTTTTATGGAATTTAATATCATTAATTTTATTTTAATTAAATGCTGCAGGAGTTGATTATTTGTTAAATTTCCAAGTGTTCACACTGAAGTTTAGGGACTAATTTAATTTATTGGTTGCCAGGAATTTGCTTGAATTAGATTCGCACATGATAACTATTATATTAAACCAGATTATTCAAACANTGATTTTTCCTTAATTTATGATAACCAGTGTATTATATTAAACCAGATTATTCAAACATTTTTACTAGGAATACTCGCATTAATATTTCATTTCAATTCAATGTTTTTCCTTGGAATTTAACTACATTTGTTGTACAATCATTGTTTCAAACGAATTTTGGAATTGATGGTCCATTTGTCTTAAGATAAAAAAATAATGCTGCGAATTTCTTTAATTCTATTAATTTGGCTAAAAATATTATTTATTTAGACGCTATTAAAAATATTACAAACCCATTCAGTTAGTTCCCTGATTAATACTCATTCAATTTGGAAAAAAAATTGTTTATTTAGATGCTATTAGAATATTACAAACCCATTCAATTAGTTACCCCATTAATACCCATTCAATTTGGCCAAAAATATTATTTCCTTAAATGCTATTTAAAATGTTACAAACCCATTCAATTAGTTTATTTAGATTAAACCTATAAAATAATTATTTAATTTTGAGTGTAATTTAAAATGTTATTTGATTTTTAGACGGATCATGTCGAATAACTCAAGCTAAAGTAAATTTGGAGGTTTTGACAAAGATGGCTACAAACGCAGAATGTCTTGCCACACTAATATCGAACTTTCATCTTCATTTACCTTCTATTATTGAACTTTCGGACAATGTAGGTGGTCATTCTCTTGAAAAACCTCTAGCTGTATTTCTTGAGCAACTTTTACAGGTACGTAAAAGATTTTAAAATACTCCAAATTTACAATTTATATTATAACCGTCGTTGAATTTTTTGGGTTTACGAGTACTAAAGTTCAACTCCGTAGCCTTGTAAGTGTGAACCAATTCAGAAGACAAGGAAACTCCTGGATCAGTAACCCTAGAGGTATGATTTGTTATGGGAATATGGAGGATTTTCTGACTTGACAGATTTAGCATGCATCAGCTACCATTTACCACATGAGAAGTCTTCGGTCGGCGGGGTTGGAATCCACGTACTCTTGAACATGGGCTCAGTGCCCTACAAACTAAGCTATCCCTGCCCAAGCAAAATTTATTAATTATTTTGAAAAGATTGCTATGTCAAATTGGCATTGATAATGTGCTGTTCTCTTTAAAAATTATATCAGTTTAATAATCAGTTCGATTCAGGCTGCTGAGCCCAAATTTACTGTAACTAAACATTCCTCAAATTTTACAACATATCTTTTAAATAATTAATATATATACAAGGATTAATTTGAAGTGGGCGAAATGAAATTTTTAAATTTTTATATTTGCTTTAGTTATACATTTCCTATAATATACATTATTCATCAATAAGCGATCCAATGAGCCGAACCTGGTTCGAATCCCAGTCGATACGAATTCCGCATCCGGCTTGCACCTACCACAGTGCTAGCGTGAAATATCCTCAGTGGTAGACGAATCATGGGTTACAATCCCCTTGCCGTCAGGCTAACCGTGGGAAGTTCTCGTGGTCCTCCTCTCCATGTAACGCAAATGCGGGTTAGCTCAACACCTCCTAGAAGTAGAAAGGCCTCATCACGGATCAAATTAGTAGTCCGATGTGACGAAGTTAACTGCGCAAAAGACGAAAAATAAGAAAGATGTCATTACGTTAGGGGTACTGAGCTGCGCAGTGGTTGAAAATTCAAAATATGTCATTACGTTTGGACTANAAAATATCCTCAGTGGTAGACGAATCATGGGTTACTGTCTCCTTGCCGTGAGGCTAACCGTGGTAAGTTCTCGTGGTCCTCCTCTCCATGTAACGCAAATGCGGGTTAGCTCCATCAAAGAGTCCGCCACAAAGGCAAATTTCTCCCAATACTCGATCTAAGAGTTTATCTGATCTTCTGTATTGAGTTCAAAATCACAAGGCTACGGAGTTGAACATTAGTAGTCGTAAAGCCACAAAGTTGGGTCAGCTGTTCAACGCCGGTTATAAAATAATATAAAATATAAAACAAAATGAAAAATCATTAAGAGAATATTAAATTCCAAAGGAAAATCTGAAATAAACACGCACTGTTTTGCTATTTAGTCAGCAAATGTTTCGCCCGAATCAAACTTTTTCAGGCCCAAACATTGTTTTCGAAAAAGGAAAATATATGAATCCTTCTTGGTAAAGTAAAAATTTCATTTTCTTTTAAAATTGGACAAAGTAGGTGGTCATTCTATTGAAAATCCTCTAGCTGTATTTCTTGAGCAGCTTTTACAGGTACGTAAAGCTTTTTAAAATACTCCAAATTTACAATTTTATTTTATTTTTGTGATCGTCGTTGAACAGCCGACCCATTTTTTTGGGATTACGGCTACTAATGTTCAACCCCGTAACCTCGTAATTTTGAACCCAATTCAGAAGACAAGAGAAATCCTGGATCGAGTATTGGGAGGAATTTCCCTTCGTGGAGGTCTTTTTGATGGAATTAACCAGCATTTGCATTACATGGAGAGGATGACCACGAGAACCTCCCACGGTTATCCTGACGACAAGGGAACTCTGACCCATGATCCGTTTACCACTGAGGATATTTCACGTCAGCACTGTGGTCGGAGCAAGCCGGATGCGTAATTCGAATCGACCAGCCATCACTGGGATTCGAACCCAGTTCATCTCATTGGATGGCGAGCACTCTATCCCCTAAACCATCGCGGTTCCAGAAATTTGCAATTTATACCAATCATTAAAAGAATATTAAATTCCAAAGAAAATCTGAAATAAACATGCTCTGTCTTGCTATTTAGTCAGAAAATGCTTCACCCGAATCGAATTTTTCAGGCTCAAACATTGTTTTCGAAAAATGAAAATATATGAATACATCTTGGTAATGTAAAAATGTCATTTTCTTCCAAAATTGTAAAAAAAAAAAAAAATTTTAAAGATTGAAAATTTTCAGAAACTCTATTGCCCATTCGCAAGACTTGCCTGACAAGGAAAAAAAAAAAAAAAAGCAGATTTTAAACTGAAAATTGGCAACGAAAAATTCAAAAATAATTAAGGGGGAAAATTGAAGCTAGAAAAACCGGGTAAGCTAGAGAGTATCAGGTTCTAATTTGCCTGCCGTGTTAAGTCTCTCCAATTTGCCAACAGATTAAACATTTAACTGCTCTAAAAACGATCAGTTTGGCCTATATTTTTTCCCTGTATCAAAAATTCATCTAAAATTTATAATCCATGAATAATTTTTAATTTATAAACATTTTTATAATCCCTGATAATGCAGCGTTAAAGTCGTTTTACAAATATTAAAAAATTGAATCACAAAGTCCCGCAGTGAACTGATCGTTAAGACACGGTTCTCAGCAGATCACCGAAGTCAAGCATCACTGGCTACGGTCAGTGTGCGGGTGGGTGACCACTTGGATCAGTCTGCGTAGGGNCAGTTTGGCAATATTTTTTCCCTGTACCAAAAATTCATGTAGAATTTATAATCCATGAATAATTTTTAATTTATGAAAATTTTTATAATCCCTGATAATGCTGCGTTAAAGTCGTTTTACAAATATTAAAAAATTGAATCACAAACGCTTTTCAATTTTACATGGGAGTAGCTTTCATTCGCAATCTCATTTTGCGCCATTTTCACAATTAGCATACACTGTAAAAAATGTAACTTAGCACCCAAAATGATGGCAACTACTTTACATCAAAGTAGTGTTGTAAATAAAACGCTTCCTTGGCCGAGTGATATCACCCACCAAACGCAATGTGAAGCGTGGAGGTGACGGGTTTGAATCCAGTCGTAACCCTGGATGTATTCATCGTGATGTCCTTCTCTAAATTGTTCTATCTGTCCTTCTACTTGACAAAGGTTTATAAGCCGAAATTGAGCAGGCAAGCCTGCAAATGCATGTAATTTTAATAAAGAATTAAAGCCAGACACTGAAAAAACAGTATTGTAATATTTCTTCAAATTCAATGTTGATTAACCCTAAAAATTGCGTAAAGGAGAAATTTTTTCAAGTTAACAACAAATTAAACTTTCGCATATAATTTAAATGGCACGTGAAAGCTCTAAACACCTATAATGTTAAAATAAAATAGTTTACACCAAGATCACGTGCCCTTCTCACACCAAACGGTAAAGGGGCCTCCCTGGCCGAGCGGTATCATCGGTCCAAACGCTCTGTTAAGCGTGGAGGTAGCGGGTTCGAATCCCGCCGTAACCCTGGATGTATTCTTTGTGATGTCTTTCTCTGAATTATTCTATCTGTATTTTCTACTTCACAATGACTTATAAGCCTATGTTGAGCACACAAGTCAGCAAATGTATGTAATTTCAATAAATCAATAAATCAATCAACCAAACGGTAAATATTTCAGTTTCCGAAAACTCCAACATTATTGGACATAATTCGTAATTGTGTCAAATCGACTGTTGGCGAGTGTTTGTTTTCAATACTGCTTTTCGTCTTCAGAAACTCAAGTGTGCAGTTAAAATATGCACAGTAAAACATTTTCTTGGGCACCATCTTTTTGGGTAAGTTGAAGTTAGTTAAATGCATTTTTACTGCAGTTATCGGGTAAAAAATTATGTCAAATTAACAAAATAATAATTCTTTAAAAGAATTAGTGTAAAAAATAGGACTGAAAATGTTTTTTAAGGTAAATACTTCTGCAATGGAGCATTTAAATTGATTCTAATTCGTATGAAAATATGCGTTTTCAAGTAAATAACTAAATAGAAAGAATAAATACTAATAAAACTAAACTATAATAGAGAAAAAGTAAATAAAAAATGTACTCAGCAAAAATGTTTTGTTTACCTCAACACCAAAAATGATGGCAAATTTTTGTATGTATGTATGATTTCAGTTGTGTAATAAAAATATTTATTTTTGTTTGATTTTCATGTGTTTGTAAACTTTATTAAATCTTAAGCCTAGTTCGAATTCAGCTCTATGTGATACGCGTATATTTGATTTACCAACCAATTTTATTTTAAGAATCAATGTATACATGCAGCATAAATTACTGATGCCCACTTAATATTGAAACTTTTCTTACTGAAATTATAAATTTAAAATTTTTATTTTATTTTAAATTTATTAAAATTATATTAAGTGTCAAATTCTTTCTGAAGCAGTCTTGCACTTAATTTCTCCTATGCATCATTAAATCAGACTTTACTTTAGTGTGGTGTAGAAATTGAGAATATAATCATCTAGTGGCATTAGTTGATTCATAAGATAATGATTTGATGTTGTACTGTCCGCTAAAAAAAGATATCACCCTGAATAACTTTCGTTCTAATGATCGGATTTTCACGAACTAGGTGCCAATCTTAATGGTTTCTAGGGGTGACTTCAAATATGCTAATTGTTTATTGCTAACTATTAATTAAGTTACGAAATCGGACACAAAAACGTACTTTCTCTGAATAAACACATATTTTTTTCCTCACATATTTGGATTTTTAATCTTCAATCTGGGTTATGTGGTCTCCATAGTTTGGTCAGGAGAGCCTTTCAAAGTTTGGACCCCTGAATGTTAATTTCACTTTTTGCGTTTTTAGTCATATTTTAAAAACTGATTATGCAATTCAAAAAAAAACTTGCCCCCTCTCATAAAGCTCATTTACCCAAAGATAATTTCATGCAAAACATTTTTTTAATAACTATTTATTATTTTTTAATATTTAATTAAATTGAGGATGAAAAAATTTTGAATAATAAGGTATGCATTTTTTTATATTATTAATCTGCGTATTTTTCAATTTAAAA